TCAACAAAGCCCGAGGGGCAGGGAAACGAGCCTCAAGAACCACCTAACGAGCCTGAAAGAAAACCTAGAAAACGAAGAAAGCGTAAGAGCGAAAAAGCGGGGGGGCAGGGAGGTGTGTGTGTGTGTGTCCATGTCAGTCTAGTTACTGAATACTTAGCAGCCGTTAATTACGTGCAATAGTTGGGGAGCGGGACTTTAGTCTTAGACCGCCCGGGTAGAGTAGACTAGAACAGGGACAACAGAAGGAAAGGCACCTCTCTAAATACTGCGATATTATGTAGCAATGTTTCGACGATTCTCTGCGCAAAATAGTGTTGCATACGAGAGCACTCTCCCGCGATTGACACCGTTGGGATCGCGATTGATTCGCGGTTGATCGGCGATTGTAGCTGCCTCAGACACCTTTATTTTGATCAACACCCATATAGAGATCTAGAAGTTGCTTACGAGCACCACGGAGTAACCGGGTGGTTTGTTTCGACACCGCTGACATCCCTGACTATAGCTATGTATGGTTTGTCCTTCCAATCACCACCCATCCCCTGGCGTTCACCGTGCCTGGTCTTCTTGGCTTTCTTTGAATGGACCACCCGACGCAACCAACTGGCCACACGAGGCGTCACCACCGAAGAAGGTGTCGGTGTCTCGTCATCGAGACGGCGACGTCGTCTCGTCGTCTCGTCGTCCGGTGTTGTTGAGATGGGGGTGGAGTGCTTGAAGAGAACGAAAGAATGACAGAACCTATAGTAGCTACCGAGAAGGGTCTGGGAGAAAGGTTTGCCACAAGGTTGCCAGATGCTGATTGCCTGGGAGGTTCTTCAGTTCTGTGAACATCCCAACGACGGTGCGAGGACGGTTTGGTTCGCAAACCGAAAGACGGAGACTGCGCCACCTCTTTGGACCGAGGAGGAGGAGCTGTTTGGAACATTCCAAGGAGCTGACAGTTAGGGGGGGTTCGCCCGCACCCAGGCGGAGGCGCCACCATTGGCCGTTTCAGCAGCTCGCCCGGTGCCGGAGGAGGTGGCGCCCGCTGCTGGGAACGCCGGTTTCAACCGGGTGAAGCGGCTGATGGGCGGGTCCTGTGGGGTCAAGCAGCGGGCTGCGCATGGTGGAGCTCCTGAGGGAAGAAAGATGAGGGTTCGGAACCGGTCGTTCCTTTTTTTTTGGGGGGGGTTCAAGCAGGGTGTTTTGACCCATGAGCCAAGGTCGGTTGTAGGCATTGAGTGTTAATCTGATCAATCTATAGTAGTAAGATCGACAAGAGTTGCATACTTATATATATATATATACCCTACGCGCCCAAACCCTATAAATTTGTAGGGCATCAATCAAAACCTCGGGTATTCTGGTACAATCAACAATACCTTGAGTTTGCTCTTAAAACCTCGGGTCTTGCTTTTGTAACCCGTACTAAACCCACATTTAACCCGTACTAAACCCATATTTAAATCGTATTTTAGTACTGGTTTGGAAAGCCTTGGGTTTCCTTCACAACCCCTAGGTTTTTCCATCGACCCTACAAATTTATAGGGTTTGGGCTTGGAAGGTAGGCATAGGTACATTGGGAATTGATGGATGGTGCATCATGGTGCATCTAGTTCTTCTTCACTTCCAGCAATTCCAACCCTTTTCATCCCTAGCCAAGCCACCCAAACCCCCAACCCGCCCCACCTTCGCCCCGGCCAACGCCCCGGCCAACGCCCCGGCCCGGGCGCAGGTCCTCCCAATTCCGGCGACCGCCAGAACGACGGGCGGGTCAGCAGCTGAGACGTCCAAGGAGCGCCCGATGCCGTCCGGGGAGCGTCCCCAACAACGGGACGACGGAAGATTGATGTTAGACATGATGTTGACATGCATGGTTTTTTTCAAAACAGGTCCTTGTATAGTAATGTATGCCGGGGAGAGTCCCTTAGTGGTTGTTTTGTTCCAATTATAAGTACGACTGACCAGCAATTATCCAGCTTCGGGTGGTTGATGATTCCGGTGGGCTCAATCGGCTTTGGAGTGTGCTGGTCTTGCATCTCAATTCACCGGAACTACATGTCAATTTTATGGTTTTGGAGAGTTGTGCATCATCACCCAAAATGGTGCTTGTTTGGTTTCCTCGCCCGAAAAAAAACGCACCACAAGTGACAAAACAACACCGCAGCCTATGTTTCAGTATTGTGTTGTGATTCCGTGATCACGTGTGATGGGCCATCATGCTCAATTGTATTCATAAAATACATAAAACAGATATCTTTAAGTGAAATCGCTGTTCCGCGTGTTTTTTTCCGAATTTGATGCTTCTGGGCGTTCCAATTTGGTGGCTCTTCTTCGCCTCGACAGCCGCCTCCACCTCGCGGCGCTGGCCCGCCGCCTTCGCCTTCGTCAGGAGCTGCCGCCCCGCCGGAGCTCGGTTTGGGACACCGAGAGCAACGCGCTGGGCGCGGGTGCTCGGGCGGTCGCGGGACGAGGCCTGCGCTTTGATCCGATGGCCCCTGGGACGGACCTGCCGGGCTGTTATGGTGGAGAGGGTGGGATGGATGGATGGGGAAGAAGGTCTTGTTTCTTTTGTGAGGGATGGTGGAAGTCAGCTTTTAACCTTTTAACTCTTGTTTTCGAAGGCGATGGACCACGGTAGAGACGAAATGTCTCAGGCAACGGCGCCGTGACCAGCTGTTTGAGACGTCAGATCCCGCCGCGACCTCCCCTAGCTAAACGAATGGGTGGTCGTCTATAATAAACTAGTACCAAAACAAACCTGGATTCCTGGTAGATATCCTTTTGCAATTCAATGTTGGATTCATTGTCCTTTCATAGATTGTATTCAGTTTCCTTTCTCAGGTGCTTTGTAATTGTTCTCAGCCATGGCTTTGTTTTGGTAGTATTAGGAGTCCATGGGCAGATCTATTTTTCCTTTGGAAAAAACTTTTCACAATTGACAACCCCTAAAACAAATCCATTATTGATGATCAGGTGCCTTCCTGGTCTACTACCTTGAACATTTGTTTAGGAGCAATGTTCACATAAAGGATTGCATTAGGAAGTGGTGGGTTTGGAAAGCTGTCAGTTTTGAAGAAAACCTAGAGAAACCTATATCAGCTAATGAATCAAAATCATTGGCCTTAGGAGCTAAGTAAAGGAAGATTCCATGAGCAGATCTATTTTCCAGTGGAAGAAACCTTTTCTTATCTGCTTGCCTGGCAAGGGAGCAGGGAGTGCAGGTGGACAGGGTTCAGAAGGAATTCAAACCCTTATTAGGTGTCCAATAGAAAAAATTAGGGGCCCCCCAAAAAATTAGCATCATTCATGACCACTTTTTCAAAAATGGGGTCTGGAATAATTTTGGAAACATTTAGCATTATTGAAGACCGGTTTACTAATCAACATCCAACATTAGAGGAAACGCATCTTCCAGGGGTCCCCTCTGGGTCAGACAGTCAGGTTCGTGAGTTTTTGGAACTTTGAAGGGATGAAGTTCGGTACTGACCCTAGGGCTCCTGGCCCATCTCCCCAGAAGGTGGTTAGACCCCCCCAACCCCACCCCAACCATCTTCTCAGGAGGTGGTTGGAGCCCTAGGGTGAAGAACCAGGTCTGTGAGTTTTCGGACCGTCGATCCCAAGCGCCGTCGTTCGGGCGGTTCTGCCCGGTATCCCACACGGTCCGCCGGTGGAAGACGAACGGTCCGGCGAGGCCGCGGATCGTTGGCCCCTAAGGAATCCATGTTGGAGGCCTACCAGCGGGCAGTGCCCCAGATGCAATCCGAAGTCGCGACCGGACCGGTTCCGCGGGGCGAGTGGACTGGCGGAGACGCCCGGAGACGGTGCGTTTTCCCTTGCTTGCTCCCTCCCTGATGTGACTACCGGGCGCTTGGTAGTTTCAAGACAACCCCGAATGAAAGGATGGTGCGGCCAAGATCTAGGTGGTGGGTGTGTCTTCCACAAGACTCCAAGTGGAACGCGGTTTGCTCGCAAAGGGACATCTGGATCTAGAAAAGGGAAGAAGTGTTGGAACTGCCAGGGCCCCCTAAGGGGTGGTTAACGGACACCCCGGATCACCTCTAAGGAGCTACAATTAGACATCCCTTTAGGGGGCCCTGGTATAGGTTCTTTGACCAGCGTTCTTTTGTTTTTTTGAGTCAGTTTCAGTGCAAAGTCACTGCAGTACACTGCCATGACGGGCCATGGGGCATGGAGACGGATGCAGATCAATGCGAGGTGACGCTGATGGAGTTGGAGCTGATCAGAGACGCGGCACGGTCTCTGAAGGAGGCAGAGGACGTGAACTTCTACCAGTTCAACCAGGAACTGGATGATCTGGATGGCACATGGGCACATGTGTTGATTGCGATTGTTCATCGTGGATTCATACACATATCATATGGCACATGCTTCTTGGATAAGGTTCATGCGAATGGACAGTTTCACACACATGGTTGGTCGCCTCTTGGTTCGTTGCGCATTTGATGCTCTTGCCCGTCCCATGGAGTGTCAGAAAAGAGTGTCCAAATAAATCCATATATTCCAGCAGTCACGTAAGACGGGGTGCGATCCATGGAGGTAGTCGGGGTGCCCAGAACACATCCACTCACTGGATGGGAGTAAAAACCACCCAACTCCATGTGACCCCTGGTTGATTCCCCGGACCTCTTTCTTCGATGTTTCTTCGGGGCACACGAGCCCTCCTGTTGGGCCAATTCTTCCAGAAAGAAGGCTCTTATTCGGGGGTCAGGTGTGGACCTTCCGAATGTCGAAGCCTGATTGCGATCGAAGCCTTATTGCAGAGAATCTGTACTTTTGCTCAGCCGGTGCTTTTCCAAAACGGATGGTCCTGGTCCTTGACGTCTCCTCTTCCGCAGCTGGCAGGAGCACGTGCTATCCAAGACAGCTCCTCCGGACGGCATCGTGCTCCGCGGCGTGCGCGCGCCGCCGCAGGTGGCGCAGTCGCTGCTGAGGAACCGCCGGGGCCGCAGGTTTCGGAGCTCGGTCCACGTCACGCGCGAGATCGTGCAGATGGACGCTCAGCGTCTTCGCTCCGGAGCTGTGGGGACGACGCAGGGAGCGGAAGTCATGGCAGATGCTGGGACGAAGGGACGGAGGGGACGGGGACAATGGATGTGTTGCTGCCATATAGTTGCCTGCGACTGGGAGTGGTTGGATCGGAAATGGAAACCGAATGGAACGGCAAACGTTTCTTTGGGTGTTCCAGGTGTCCCAGGATGTCGAGATTTAAGATTATTTCCTAATATCCAATTCGCCATTCCCACTGCTCGGCTATTTGTGAAGCCTCCAAAATTCTGACAGTACATGACAGTACGGTATCCCAAGTCGGATGTGTTCTATTTTTTGCCTTGCTTGTGGGAGGTGAACATCTCCGGCTCCCTCCCTGGCACGCGCGCCAGCTGTGTGGGGTGGTGTTCGGCCTGGCACCTAGGATGGTCGCCTGGCCGTGTCTGTGGATGTCACCCATGGTTCCTTCGTGGCGGGCGACGGCTTGTTCATTGACAGCATCGCCGTGGGTGGCCCCGAGGAGACGGCGATAGAGTCGGTGAAGCGTTTCGAAAAACATGACTTAAGAGAAACATCAGAACCCCCCCCTTGCAGTCGGTGAAGCGTTTCTCATGTCCATCTCCATCAAGGTTGTGAAACAGAAAGTCCCGTGGCACTTCATTGGACCTTTTCGACAGTTTTTGCTGTGTAGGACGAGGTCGGAGCGTTTGTTGGGGCGGAGCCGATCTCGGAGCATTGTTCAACGTTCGAAACAACATCAAGCCCTCAGAGCACGCGTTTGGTCGACGTGAGAAAACGCGTGGTTTTGGAGGGTTGGTATGTTGCGTCGGCAAGACGACTCAGACACCTTTTGATCCCCTAGAATGTTGGGGCAAACTGTTTCCCTCGAACGCATACCCAGTTACCCAGGAGAAATCTGGACCAACTTCGAAAAGCTCACAGGTTCACCACAGGAAGAGCACCCCATCCCACCGAGATGTCCTCGACTTACTGGCTTGGACCGATCGGTTTCGAAACGTCCAACGTACGTTTCGTCACCCGCCTTCGGCGGGTCGTGGTGGTGCTTCGGACTTTGGGGACCATCTAGGAGATTGACCTCACGGGCTCCATCAGTTACAAGGAGTTTCTGTCCCCAAAGCCTTGCATCGCCCAGTGGTACTGCTGCCTGTCAAAGAGCTTCCGAGGGGTGATGATGTTCGGAGAAGGGAGCCTTAGCGACGGTCTTCTATCAGCTCATGGGCGAATTGACATCGCACCCAGTGTTTTTCACACAAAAGCCCAGCGCGGATGTGCGCGGGATTTCACAGCGCGATCGGCCACACACATCGGCAGTGGATGGCAGTGGATAGGCCGTTTTGCCCCTTTCAATCTTTCAATCTCACAGCTTCCCTCACGTGGATGACTCTCTCAGGCTGGACATGCTCCGGTGAAGCTAAAGCATCGCATGCATATAGGGTCATCAGGACAAGGGTCATTTCGATCGAAGGACTGAGACGACTGAGACCTGTGACGACTCAAACCGACTTGGTGGGTCGTTGGGGAACCACCAGGCCACTAGGCCGCTTGGTTTCACTCACGCGAGTCCGACATGCCTTGACCATGCCTGGACCGAGGTCCCGCCCTTCCTTTGTGCGACATCGTTGGAATCGGAGTCGTGGGACACATGCTGTGAATCCAGGAGAAAAAGTATATTCTCCCCCAGGACCCCTAAGGGGTGTCTAATTCTAGCTCCTTAGAGGTTAAGGGGTGTCCATTAACCACCCCGACCCACTGTCACCTGGCCATCATCTTCCAGGAAGGCACAGGCTTGAAGAAGAGACTTGTGGACGTCCTCCCAACGGCCCCAAAAAGACTTGGAACCTGGCCGGTGCAGAGGAACTCGTGTTTGAAAGAATGCCCCAGGGCCCCATCCACATCGGTGATCACCTGTGTTTGCACCATTGCAGCCATGAAGTGGCCTCGAGCGCGACGTGGCGCCAGTGGCGTTCAGGTTGTCATTGGTGGGGTGAGTCCTTGGACTCCTTCGTCTCCAGCTGTCAGACACACGCACAGCTGCGGCGGCGCGGGTCCCCGGGGTCAGCGGGCGGCTACTGGGTGGCGGCCTTTGCAATGCGCCAGCATGAGCTACGTGAAGAGCTCGGAGCCTCGGGGCCAGTGACCGTTTTGGTCCACGCGGATCGATGCGTGTGGACGGTGTCTCGAACACACCCAGATGCGACCTGTCTGGGACTGCCATATATATGAGCCACGGTCAAAACATGCGAAGACCACTTTAGTAAGGAGGGGCAGGTTTGTACACAAAACCCTGCAAAACGATAAGGTCCACCTCAAAACCGATAACCCCAGCGCTGTATATGATCATAAGTATGCGACGAACTCAAAACATTCTAAAACGATAAGGTCCAACTCAAAACCGATGACGTCCATTTTTTTGCTGAAGAAGAATAAGGAGTTTTGACCGTCCCTCATATATATATATATATACAAATTGCCGATCAGGCCAGGGGTGGTGCCAGGGCCTCAGGGGGGTCAATGTAGGCCTTAAATGGCCCATGGATCGAACGATGGCAGTGACCGGCCTTCCCCTTTGCTTCGTTCGTTCGCTCGCTCGCTCGGTCGGTCGTCGGTGGTTGGTTTGTCAGGACTTCGGGAGGAACCGGTGGAAGTGACACTTAGTGACTTAGTGGGAGGAAGGCCGAAACAACCATCGTCTCCGGGGGTCACATAGAGGGCCAGGGTAGGTTTGGTTCGTCCCATCCAGGGGCTGTAGATGTGGCACCCAACTCCTACCTCCATGGATCGCACCCCTGACCGAACGTGACTGCTGGCTGACAGGTCTTTTTTCGGGAGGTTTCCGGGACGTCAACGGTGCGTCTCCTCTGGGCCGTTGACCGAAGGGGGACCGAGATCTGAACACCATCGACTGACGGGACCGGGAAGGGATGAGCGCCCGGAACGGCGGAGAAGCAGACGGATGATCCAAGAGAGCAGATCCTTTTGGGACCGAGTGCCGATGACTGAGGACCCGATTTGAAGGAGTCTCCTTTCTATGATGCTCTTCGCTTGGCTGATGGGATATTGCTGATCCTGGGCCAAAGCTAGTGAGGAAGTGAAGACATGTTCATTCACCCCAAAAAGCGGGAACATCCATCATTTCTCCAAAGACGGCCACAGCAATCAATGTGAATGGCCACCAGAGTGCCACCAAAGGGATACGTTCCCTTTCACGCGCATATTGCATATTTGTCTAGAGACTCTTAAATTAACATTTAAATATAACATCATGCGAGCTCTTCCTGATCAACATGTTCCTTTCTTGTTGTTGTTATATGCTTTCTTGGGCAAGTACTGTTCCCCATGGACAAAAATCCAATTTGTTTCCACAGATTGGCCGGGAGGATGAGGGTGCCGTGACACAGGACTGTGGATAGTGAGGAAGTCTTCCGTCGCACGTGGTGCCACTTGTCCTTCAAACGAGACCGTCGGGCGGTCCAGCGGCCAGAAGGGTTCAGAGAAGCGATATTACAGCCACCGGTAGAATGACGAACAGCGCTTTTTGTGGCTTTTCGGTTTGTTATACCGGAGGTTCTATCCGATCCAGCAAGTGGACTAGCTAGCAAGTGGACAGCAACACCGGTCTTAGCACATGGCCGAGGTTTTGTTATGCATCTTCAAAGCCATGGAAGCATAAACCTCTGTGTAGAACTGCATGGTCAAGTGGTTGGAGGCACATTTCATTGGAGCCACAGCGGTTCATATACGGCTGCGCATGCGGTTTGTTAGGCCACTATGAACTCTATGCTGGCTCAGATCTTAAGCATTTGGATGTGGTCTGCAACGGAGCAATGTTGAGCAGGACTGGATTGCCTGGGGTCTCCTGGCACAATGTTTTGGATGTGGGTGAATCAGATGGGACGATGTGTTGAACCAAGGTGGAGTGTCTGCCTCGTACCTCTCAACAGCTGTCAAAAACCATATAAAGACCAGAGATGGCTTGTCATGCCTTAGCTTCAAACTTGATATTTCCCTACAAGTCCAAAGACCCAGTAAAACCTGGTGTTTACCTTCTCGAGATCAAGTATATATTGTTGTTGTATGAGCAACACGCAGTATCATGAGGTCAAACTGACTGGTAGGGAACCCCCAAAAACCGTTGTGAGTCGGTGCAACACCTGACCAACACCGAACTACTCCGCCTCTCGCGGTTCCCGTTCCTGAAAGGACGGATTGACGGATTGACCGAAAGGGATCATTTTCAGACATGCAACTGGAGTCAAGGAGTGAAACTGGTTCCAAGTTGTTTCGCCTTGGAGACAGCTGAAACATGTATCCCTGACGATCCATGACCACACATAGGTCACACATAGAAATGATCTTAGGATATGCATACGTTTCTATTGATCGTGTTATTTGAAGACGTTGTCGAATCACAGATTGGGGTACCTGAAATGTATATACAATTCCAGTATCATTGTCGGAGGATAAGACCATGAAATCCCAAGAACCAAGCATACCAGGGCGTGACGAACCGTGACAGACCGTGATTGGTCTATTTTGTCCCTTTAAAAATGATGTCATTGTCGGACTCCAGCGTGACAACCCGTGACGAATTTGAATTTGGGATCGTTGGTTTTGTGGTTTTTGGGTTCTGGTATGATCTCGTTTTTTGAGGTCGGACCTCACAGGGTGAGGTCGGAGAGCCCCAGAAGGCACAACCCCAAATGTTAGCATATAGAGCTAACTTTCGATCCTCAGGGTATTTTTTGTATAGCTTTTCATGTAGCTTCTGACAGCGTCTGCCGTCCCGCCCAGCGGTGACCCCGATCCGGACTGCGACCGGACGAGTTGAGGAGAGCATGGTGGCCAAACAAGTGCCTTTGGAATAAGACTAGTCAGACTATACCAGCACCCGAACAGGGGCACCCTCCTGGCCAGGCTGAGGGTTGTTGGATGTTGTTTCAGGTCGAACCGGTGACCTGTAGAGTCGGGTCCTGGTCAAATAATTGCAAATATAGGGGTCACATGGAGTTGGGTGGTTTTTAGTCCCATCCAGGGGCTGTGGATGTGACAGGGGCACCCCGACCACCTCCATGGATCGCACCCCTTACTGAACGTGACTGCTGGTAATTGTGTTTTGTTTCTAATCACTAGGAGCGATGGCCTAACCTACTTGCAATGGCCTCCAAGCAACTTGCAATGGCCTCCAACCTTGCTATGGCCAAGTCCTGGTGCCCCTGGTGCGTCTAAGTGTCGACCTCCTCGGGCGAGAGAGGATGAGCGAGCTCGCCACGCACGCAACGACCGTCGTCCGGTCGCGGCTCCGTCCGAGCGGATGTTTGAGGTCATGGTGGAGTGAGGTCATGGTGGATTCACCCCCTGTCACGTGAATTCAAATCAGCCGGATTTGAAATCAGGCGTCAGGCGGATGAAATCAGGAGCTCGAGGAGTCGGAAGGGCGAAGGAGTGAATGACTCATCAGGAGTCATACAATGTACCCAGATGGTCGACCGCGGTCGGACCAAGAATCCGGCGTCCTAAAGAGCTGCGGAAAGAAGCCCATGAGGCAGTCTCGAACCATTTCTCCCCATTTCTCCGTGAGTCTCTGGGTTCCTCCAGACGTCGGTCACTGAGTTGCGGGAGAAAGGCTTCGATTGGGAGCTCCTGCTCAAAGGGCTGACGATGAACTGTGAAGCTTCACGCGCCACGGTCCTTGTGCGGGAGCACAGATGGGGACCACAAGCACACCGCGAAGCTGTCAGGTGTGAGGTCCGTTGAGGTTTTTGCTGTTGAGGTCCGTTGCTGTGAAGATCTCCCAACAACTTAACAACAAAAAACGGACCAGAAACGCAGTCCATGGCAACTTCACAGCGTGTTCTGTTTTCGAGGTTCCTTTCCTTCGTGGGGGGCACACAACCAAAGGCCTTTTCTTGGGTCCTTTGAGTCTGGGGTCTTCTGTCGGTTCGGTCCCAGGCCGACAGGAGGATGTTCGCCGCGATCTTTGCCCCGTGGCGCTTGTTCGAAAAGCCGACTTTCGTCGAACACTCCCAGACTGACTGGTGGCACATATAGGTGGCCTTTTAGCATTGGTTGATACCCCCGGTCATGCGCAGCCAATAGCAAACAATGGCCACCTTCCAGCGGCCCCTTCAACTGGATGTTCCCGGACATCAGAACATGAAAATGGGACTCGAAGACTCTCACTGCTTTACACGAGATCGACTGCTTCTAACTACACGAAAAAAAAATACAAGTTCGCTGCGATCTTCGCTGTGGGGGCGATCTTCGCGGGAGCTTGGAGTTGGCCCAATCCCGCTTGAAAACCACCAGGCTTGACCGAAGCAACTAAGGATTTTCCACAAAACCAGGTCAACCATGTTTTTGTTGGTCTTGGAAGTCTAGCGAATCTATGGGAATCCAGTAATCCGCATTTTCCCGGAATCTAGCATGAGATCGGGTCTCCTCGGTCGACCCCTTCCTGGGGGTCGTGTAGGACAGGGCGGAAGGTAGAAGGGGCTTGGTAGTTCAGAAGGGAATCCACTGAACATCAGTGGTGAGGGATCGCCTATCGTCGGATGGGCCATGGGCGGCCATGGGCCTTCCATATACCAGCACCGACGGCCCTGCCAGGTCACCAATTGAAACCTGTGACAGGGCCCGTCTCCCAACCCTCCAGCCATCGGAGACCTGGTGGAAGGTGCTGGTATGCGCATGTTTTCGATGAGTCCGTTCTACCGTTCTGCCGGGTGGTGTTCCGCGAAACGCGGGAGAGCGGGCTGGCCCGCCCTCCACGGTGTTGGAGAGAAACATCCGTGGGGGCCACCGTGGTCAGGATCAAGAAGGCACTTTGAAAGTGGACGAAACCGTCTGTTCCACCTTTGCCTTGCTCCTCGGAGAAAACATACAGAACTTGGCTGGATCCTTGTTGGCCTTTGGTCCTTAAATAAGGTGGTGGGCAGGTTTGTAACTTGCATGTTCTGGGCAACCTTTTTGAGGACAGTGAACATCAGGTTCGAACCAGTGCCAAGTGCGACCGCGCACATCGAATGGTGTCATGGATTACAGTAGTAGTAGTAGTAGTAGTAGTAGTAGTAGTAGTAGTAGTAGTAGTAGTAGTAGTAGTAGTAGTAGTAGTAGT